CCCTGATAATTTATAATTTATTATTTTATCATATCTTACCCCATCCAACGTCTCCCTCACCCACTTCTCCACTATCCATCCCCCAGGGAGGAGGCCTCATGTAGACCTTATCCTCTGTTCCCCCTTTCTCCCTCTCCTTCCCTCCACCCTCCCGCCATTGCCACTCTCTCCACTGGTCCTGGGGGGTTCCGTTGTTCTGGGTTCACTGTATTTCCAGTTCCTATCTGTCCCAGTGCACCTCTTCCGGTCCAGCCGGATATGTAAGGTAGAATTGGGATCATGGTAGTGGGGTGGAGGAAGCATTTAAGAACTAGAGGAAAATTGCATATTTCATCGTTACGACACTGCACTCCAATTTGCTCCTCACCTCCCTGCAGCCCTTCTGCAAGGGGATGTCCAATTTCCCCCGGATGGGCCCTGGGTCCCTACTCTGCACTCCCCATCCTTCACAATGTTATGGGTTTTTTTTTGGTCTTTGATGCCTGATACCTGACCCTTTTCATCTTACAGGCTGGTGTGCTTCTTCCATGTGGGCTTTGTTGTTTCTCAGTTAGATGGCCCCTTGTTTATCTTCCAGCATGTAGGACCCCAGATTCTATGTAATTTGACAGCTTGGCACCATCAGCTGAGAATAATTCTTATTTTTAGAAATCATGTTCTTCGCACCTAACTGTACCTTGGCACCTAATATCACCCATAATGCATGTTGTTGAATGACTTAATTAAGGAACAGACTCCCTGTGAAATGATTTCATACTCGTATATTCTCTCGGGGTCTATAACTCATACATAGAATTTTTTAGGACTCTGAGGACCAAGATAACCAAAAATTACTTTCAATTGTACCTTTCCAGTCCTTAGCACTCAGTAGATATGCCTTGAACAAATCAATACATTCATGAATGAAACTGCCGAACAGTGTAGATAGTGACCCATGATCCACATACAGCTGGAAGTAGAAGGCACTGAATTGAGAGGGAGAGAGAATAGATGAATGGCGTGAGTTAACAATTATATGGTGACCAGGCCAAACTCACTCTCATTGAGTTGATTCGGATTGCTTGTGACCCTAGGAAGAATTTCGGAGACTCTCAATCTTTACAGGGCAGGCAGACTTATTTTTTCCCTGTGGAGTGGCTAGTGAGTTTGAACCACGGACCTGGCAGTTAGCAAGCCAGCTCCTAATCTGCATCACTCTCAGGGCTCCTTGAAGGCCAACAGATCAGTTGTTTTGTACAAAAAGCCCCCACCACTCCAGCCCAAGAAGTAGGAAAAAAATGAGACACAAAGATTTTTTTATACTTCTTAAAATGTTTTCCTATCGCAACCTCTCTCTCTACGATGATAGTCTGCAATTCCTGCTGCCAAAGAGAGGACAAGTTCGATGATAAATAAAAATGATCAATGATGAAGAAAGTACCTGGGAATTATACTGTAGTTGGAAGGTAGCTGCAGAGAATGGATCACTGCCATAAGATCAACTCTGATTCCTAGAAGCCGTAAGGGACAGGGTACAACTGTCCCTTAGGGTTTCAGAGGGTGCAACTTTTTACAGAATGAAACGTCTCATTTGTCTCCAGCACAGTGGCTGGCTGGTTCCAACCACCAAACTTTTGGTTCGTAGCTAATGTTTACTCCACTTCAGTACCAGGGAATGGATGCAGTGTTTAGAAGAGGAGCACCCTCACAAGGAGAGAAAAATAGTTAATGGAAAATATTTTCATGAGAATGACTCTAAATGACAAGAAATAGCTGAGAATATTGGGAGATTTGCCTCTGTTAATGAGACAGAAAAGAGCATGTAGTAAGGAAACTACAGGAGCAGACGTTTGAGAACGTTCTAGCCCAATGTGTCCATTTTCTCCGGGAACTGATCATGTGACCAACGTATGTGAGATGAAGTCTTGCCATTCTCACTCCTAGGGAACATTATCTGTGAGAGTGAGTCGGGTCATGGTCAGAAAGGCCACCCAAGAGAGGGCAGCTTGGTCAAGAGGCTAGAAAGATGGCCAGGTGACCAGGACATTTCAGGAGCAAGCCATGGTTACATTTTCTCCAAGCTCAGTCCACTGCTGAATAGTCAAGGAGAACAGAGAGACGCTTGTAAGTGTGCTGCACACTCACCTTTCACTAAAACTTGTGCTAAAAGGATTCAGGCCCAGCTTTCCAATTCCGTGCATTAGATAAAACCATCTCCAGTCTTTGCCTGTTTGGCTCTCATGCTTGATGATGCCATGCTTCTTTGGTTGGGTGTGAGGATGACCAACAAAGCACTGATTTCATTCTAAATAAGCCAAAGTCAAAGGCTTTATGTTTATCTTCTACTGTTTAAGTTGTGGAGGAATACATTGTGCTAGAGGAATAGAAGGCTCGTGGGTTGTTGCATTAAAGACAAGCACTATTTAGAATAACAGAAACAAAATGCTTAAGTTTCTAAAAAGTCAAAGAAATATTGAAGACAATGCTTAAGCACCTTATAGCTTATCTGGAAGAAGGGGAGAAAGAGAAATGATGAAGATTTACATTTGCTTAAACATTCATATGCTTGATTAGTGTTGGGAATTAAGATTGTTTAATATATAATACCAGGGAGTTTTAAAAATTCATGAAAAAATTGAATGAAAAGATAATGGCATTTTTCCATGAAATTTTTGAAGCCCCCTTTTACGTGACATGTAATAAATTATGCAAAATAATCTTATAGGCACTATAATAGAATCATTGGATACATGATTTATTTTATGTCAAAAATGAAATGCTCAAGAATAAAAAGGTGAAGCTCTCCACGTGATGTTTCTGGGTGGAGCAGTACTCCATTACTAACCAAAAAGTTGGTGTGGTTCAGAGGCGTGAAAGAAAGGCCTGGTGATACTTTCCATAACTATTGCTGTTGTCGATGGTGTTGGTAGGTGTGGTCAAGTCACTTCCAACTCAACAATCCTGTAAGTAGTAGGGATGAAACACTGCCCAGTTGTTCTTGTTGGAACCCATCATTGCAGCCCCTGTCCCACTCAATCTCATTGAGCGTCATCTTTTCCCCTGATCCTCTCCTTTAGGAAGCAGGAAATCCTTCTCCGGGAACTGATCACGTGACCAAAGTACGTGAGATGAAGTCTTGCCATTCTCTCTCCTAGGGAACATTCTGGTGGTACTGCTTCCAAGACAGATTGGCTTGATCTTTGGACAGTCCATGATATATTTAATATTCTTGGCCAACACGATCATTCAAAGGCATCAGTTCTTCCTTATCTCCTGCCCCTCTTTGTCATGTCTATGGGGCAATTGAGGCAATTGCCATGTCTATGAGGCATGGCTTGGGTCAGGTGCACCTGTCTTCAAAGTGACCTCTTTGTCTTTTAACGCTTGAAAGAGATCTTTTGTGGCAGATTTACCCAATATAATTAATTTCTTGTTTGATTTACTGAGTACTGTTTCCAGGATTGTACATTGATCATGGAACCAAGTGAAATGAAATTTCCTAACTATCACAAGCAAGAAAATCTTATGGGGCAATTCTACTCTGTCAAACATGGTGTCATCTTGACTTAGCATCAGTTCTACACCAAAGATGTAATGGTTCTCCATGTAAGCTCCATGAAGGCAGAGACTGTTCTGCTTCATTTACTACAGTAACATTGACATAAAGTCCTATGCTTGCTATCGAATGTTGATGAACAAAATATTTGAGAAACAAAGGAAATCAGTGTAAGATGGTAGTGTTTCCATATTTGATCATGTATATAGAAATCAAAAGTAATTTTAAATTTTAACAATGTGGAATATTTAGAAATTCTGGCTTCTCTGTAGGAGATGTTGTTACACGATCCCAATAGCCACTGCTTATTTAATGATCTTCATATTTTGCCTAATTATAAAATGAGAAGTTTTGGTGAACTCTGGCCAAATCATATCAGGTATACTGATCCTACACCTTATTAGATCCCCCCCACCCTCTTTCTTGGTCATTAAAATGCCTGCGGTTATAGCAAATCCATTTTTTTCTTCCCAGTGATATACTAAGAAACATACATAACTATTCCCATATAAAATAAGAAGTATATCCGACTCCTTCCAGTATTCAGCCCTATAATCTTTTCCCTAGAGTCTGATATATAGTTTTTAAGAGTGACAAGAATGGAATTTGTCATTGAAATGTTTTGCTGTTATTGTTAAGGCCACAACAGAGCTATTTCATCTTTTATTAAGCTATTATATCATATAGTCATTGTAGTGTACTGATACTCAGATTCTTGTCAGTTAAGAAAAGAACATGGGAAAATAGTTGTCAAGAACATATATGAAATGCAAATGAACTGCGAAAGCATGGAATAAACTCAGCTAAGCTAATGGTGCGAGTGGTCCTCACCACCAGAGCTGGAAACGATGTGGCACTCTTCTCAGGGGAGAAATGAAACCGCAAAAATATGGGAAGAATTAGTTTCAACATGCGTAGTAATATGGTGCCACATTTCTCACTCCAGAGGGGAGACTGGAAACGGAGTGAATAACAGAATGAAGAGAAAGCACTCAGATAAGCAAAACTAATGAGCTAGCCTCCTGAGGCAGAAATTAAAAAGAATACTGTAACCGAATGCTTTTAAATGGTGGGTTGGTCTACAGAAATTGTCCTTTTCCCTGCAAGGTTACTATTATTTTATTAATTCACAATCAGGGGCATTATAAGGAGCAATTAGGAATCCATGGTGGAGTTGCATACCCATAAGACATTTTTTATGGGAGGGGAAAAAATGTTAAGCATTCACTGTGGGGAAGTCTTGTAAAACAGTTGAAAATCAAGCATTTCTGCCCAGGAGGCTTTTATTTAGCAAGAGCAGCCAGAAAAGTTGTGTTTGTGTTTTGTTTTTACCTTAATCTACAAATTGTTTAGACATCTTGCCTTTCTCATTTATGCCTTCACACGGTCCCAGGGAAAGGAGAAGAAAAAACAATGGATCCTGAAGAAGTATTGCCTAAGAGTTTTCCTTTGTATTTCCCTAAAGGAATCCATTCCAAGCTGCAGTTTGAAATCATGCCAGGCGCTGCATTTGGGTTGTTCAAGATCAACCCTGACACGGGTGAGGTAGTGACAGCCACCACACTGGACAGAGAAATTCAGGACGTCTTCACCCTCAGAGGTAAAGAATCTCTTCATTAGGCATTTTTGTTTGTTTGTTGTAGAGGTAACCAGAGGCTGGGTGTCAAAGGTCTACATTTCAGTGGGGTGTCTTCAAGTATTATTGGGCCAGTGTTTCCTGATTCGTGTCCTCTGAGTATGGGTAGTCAGAACAATAGATTTAAAGAAGTAGACACAACCCAGCTGTCTTTGTTTTCTTGCCAGTACTTGTGCGAGATGGGGGAGTCCCTTCATTGTCCAGCACCACGGTGATTCTCTGCAGTGTCGAGGATGAAAACGATCATGCACCAGAGTTTATTGCCCTCCGGCATTACATTGAGGTTCCCGAAAACCAAGGGCCCGAAGTCATCGATACTATTTGGGCATCTGATATGGATACTGGAAATAATGGAGCTGTGGAGTATCACATAGTTGGTAAATATTTTATGTAACACTCCCCACCCCCACCATACGATACCAACCGAAGAGACAAAGACTTGTCTATAGTTTGTTGAAAGGAACAAGTCTAAGGTGCAGTTTGGAACTATGGAGTTGGCTCGTGACTCCCAGAACCCCATGCACAATGGGGCAAATCACTGCCCAGTCCTGTATGGCCCCTGTGTTTGGTTGTGGTGTAGACCATTGCGATCCCAAGAATTTCCACCTGCTGGATTTTGGGACGTGCAGCTTCCAAACTAGCTCAACATCCTAGCAATAAACAAGCCTCCACTGAAAGCAGAGAGGTGACTGTGCAGGAGCCACACTGGCCAGGAGTTAAACACAGGTGTCTTTCATGGAAGATGAGAATTATACCACTGCAGCACCAATACCCCGGACACATATGATCTGGTGGCTATTCTGTATTTAGTGTCTGCTACATTATCTATGAAAGACAACCCCCCAAATGCCTCATTGACGCCATGAATTTTCATTTGCACCTCCATTACACAGCCCCTTTCTCCATGCCCCTTCTCTGTCTCTAAAAATCTGCTGTGATCTAGGGCTGCTATAACAAAGATACCATAGTTGGTGACTTTCACAACAGAGAGTGGGTTCTCATTGCTTAGAAACCTGACAGTTCCTCATTCAGGGCACTGGCTCTAAGAGAAGGGTTTCTTCCTGTTTGTGCTAGTGTTCCTGGATTAGTTTCTGATCTCCAAGAGCCTTGGCATTGATCTTCCCCTATCTCTGATTGCTTGCTTAGCACCCTTGTTTATATCTCAAAAGACTTAAGACATACCTTACGTGAATACTGCCTCAGAAAGATAACCAAGAAAATCCATTCCCAGATAGGATTTTAGGTTTAGAATTTATAGCACATGTTTTGGGGAGACACATGTCAATTCTTAATATCTTACCCATTGCCCCCCACAATGTATGTCCTTCCCATAGGCAAAACATATTACTTCATCATGTTTTCCCCAAAGTTGTAAATCAACTTCAGTTCCCAAACCTCATCCTCTGAATCATCTAAGGCAGTGGTTCTCAACCTTCCTAATGCCGTGACCCTTTAATACAGTTCCTCATGTTGGGGTGACTCCCCAACCATAAAATTATTTTTGTTGCTACTTCATAACTGTAATTTGCTACTGTTATGAATTGGGCAGCCCCTGTGAAAGGGTCGTTTGACCCCCAAAGGGGTTGCTGCCCACAGGTTGAGAACCGCTGATCTAAAGCAAGTGTGGGTGAGATTTTAGAGGAGTTTTGCATCCTGAATTAAAATACCTCTTCACCAGTGGACCTGTGAAATGTAGAATACAACTTGTTCACTTTCAAATGATAAGGGTAAGTCACAATGTAATGCTACAAAAATCATAGAAACGTTTACTAACAAAAACATCAAAAGATGAAGTTTGGTTTCTCCACATATCGTTCATGCAGGTCTACACATTTCTGAAGCGGATGCATTGCTCTGATGGGGAAAAACCTCCTTAGCACCACTTGCCAGGCCTCTTTCTCACCAATTCAGTTATCGCTTTTCTCAAAACTTCTTCCTATTAAGCCCTGTGATCATCCAATGCCCTTTGAGAAAATCTATGAAAGACAGTTTCTGTAATCATCTGAGCTGACCTTTCTACTTTGAATGTAACCGGTTTTGATTGGACATCCCCCCTCCCCCATTTCTTTTTGGTGGGAGAGGCATCCAAATGAGGTTTAGACATGGATATTACTGGGAGAACATAGCTACAGCCATTCATTGATCACAGAGATTTGTTTAAACCCATTTTGTTTGTAGTAAATTAATACATACTTGAACTAGAACCTTAATAGCATTGTTTTTTTGACTTAGCCTTGTTCAGTGGTGGACCAGGCCCAAAGCAGACATGTCCATTACAATGGGAAACATTGAAGGGGTAACAGATATTAAGCAAGTTCAAAACCCAGCAGAAAAAAATGACTAACTCTCAATGCTTGAAAACATGAGGTACCTTTAAAATGTCTGTGGACGGAGAGCAAATGCTTTGAGAATGACGAGGGCAATGAATGTACAAATGTGCTTTACACAATTGATGTATATATGGATTGTGATAAGAGTCCTATGAGCCCCTAATAAAACTATTTAAAAAAAAAAGAATAGTAAAAGAAAAAAAAAAGTCTGTGGAAGGCATTCCTGAACGTCCCGCCCGTTGGAGCTTGAGTCAGCTTTGAAGGGCAGGCGAGCATTGGGAGACCTCAAATCTACATTTATAGTCTAGGAGCAAAGGGGAGCCTTTTGGACAGGAGTTCCCATCCGTTCCACATCATTTAGGTCTGAACAGGATTTCGTTTGAGGCCCTAAAAAGAATAACACATCAGGTTGAAAAGAGCCCCTATCAGAACAACATGAATACTGCTAAAAGAGAAATAAGAAGCAATATCAAGGTTATGGTGAATCCTGGGTGGAAGAATAGTGAAATCATTGCTGCTTTATGAAAAGTTTATGGGGACAATGCCCCAAAGGAATCAATGGTTTACAAATGGGCAGCTCGTTTTAAAAATGGACGAGACGATGTTGAAGACGGAGCCCGTAGTGGTAGACCATCCTCATCGATTTGGAAGGAAAAAATTAATCTTGTGCCCTCATTGAGTATAGATGATGCAATGCAGAAACAATAGCTAATACCCTAGGCATCTCCATAAAGTCAGCTTATCCACTTCTCATCGAAAAATTAAAGTTGAGCAAACTTTCTACTTAGTGGGGTCCAAAGCTATTGCACTCAGATCAGCTGCAGGCAAGCGCATAGTTTTCAGTGGACAGTTTATATACTGGTCGGTTAAAGATCTGGTTGTAACAAGATGAAACGTGTCTTTCCCGGTGTTTCCTGAAGACAAAGCATGTTCAAAGGAAGGGTTATCAAGAAGCAGAAGAGGCCCATTTAAAGGCAAGGCAGAACGTCCATTCAACAGCAAAGATCATGGCCACCATTATTTTGGATGCTAAAGGCATTTTGCTTGTAGACTTCTTTTTGAAGGGTCAAAGAATAATACAATCTGCTTATTATGCAAGTGTTCTAGAAAAGGTAGCCAAAGCTCCCGCATAAAAACACCGAGAAAGTTTCACCAGAGTCCTTCACACCAGTGTCCTTGCTTATTCCTCTCAGCAAGCCAGGGCAATTTTGTGAGAGTTTGGGTGGGAAATGATTTTTAATCTTTTTTTTTTTAAGTTATTTTCTTATTGCAAAAAGAGACTACATTTCTAGGGCCCTCAGTTCCTCTAGGCATGGATAAGTGCTGGCCTCATCACTTATGGATGTGTTGTCTTGAACTTGATGGGGAGCATATGTTGAGAAATAAAAGTTTGCTTTTATTTTTATCTTTTAAAAAAATCTTGTAACTCTACTTTTCCCAAGAACTTTTGAAGTCCTCATGTATTCATAAAATAAAGATGCTGTTTGCAACAACAACAGCAAAAACAAAACCCAAACAAAAAAAGTCTGTGGAAATTTTTCATTATCTTTTAATTCCATGAAATTTGAAACTTCTTCATGGGTCTTTAAACTTCCACACTTTCTGGAAAATAACCTTGCCCTTGATGCTGGGTGTTGGCCATGCTCTCCAGATTCCGGGGGAATTCAGCTCTGTTTTTTCAGGCCCACTTGGAGGATACTTCTCCTTCCTCAGTTTTGGGTGGCTCCACTCTCCTAGTCCGTCAGAATAGTGACCCCACCCCTCACCCCAGCAGACCCCGTTCTTCTGCTTAGTGGACATGACAGTCCTACCTCCTCACCTTTGGGCTCTGGAGCCCATCTGGGTCACCTAAATGGCAGCCTCCCACTCCAGCACCAAAGTTGGTGGAGATCTAACTCTTTCAAACCCAAGATGCTGTGGCCTCACACTTTGAATCCTAGGAGGCTGTGACTCTACTTGTAGAAACCAAGGAACCTGTTTTCAGTGTTCCAACAATTCTGTGGTCTCTGAGAGTCCAGGAATGGTCTCTTCTGTGAGGGTAACAGGTGTAACTCCTTTAGCCTGTTATAATGCCTGGAGGCAGATAGCTTCCTTCCTTCCTTCCTTCCATCCATCTTTCCTTCCTTCCATCCATCCTTCCTTCCTTTCTTCCTGTCGTCTGTCTCTGTCTCTGTCTCCTTATGGTCTAAGCTGATAGATTTTCTACATGTTTAGATTCATCAGTCTAACAAAAGGTTGTGTAGCCACATCCTTGGTGAAACTTATAGGACATATGTGAATGTGAGAAAGATCACCCCACTTGATCGTAGGTAAATTCTTAGGCAGAACAACTTTAGGGTCCTTTTTGTCCCATCTCTTAGTGTTTGCCCCCATCGCCTGTGACCCTCTTTTCATCCGCTGCTGCCCACCTCCTCATGAAGCTGACACCATGGGTTCCAGAAACTGGAGACCCTGTCGGTATTCAGGTGCTCAATGATTACCTGGCCAACAAGAACTGCATCGAGGGATCTGTGCCATCAGGAGCAGACGTGGCAGTGCCTGAAGCAATCTCCGGCCCTCCACCCACTGACTTGCGTCATGCCCGACATTGGCATCATCACATCGAGTCGTATGAAAAGGAAAAGGCCAGTTTGCCAGGAGTAAAGAAAGCTTTGAGCAAGTATGGCCCTACTCATGTGGAAGACACCTGCTAATGTGGAAGTGGCACTGCAGGCAGTAAGGACGATGACGGCATTGATCTCTCTGGGTCTGAGCAGGAGGAGGAAAGTGAAGGAGCAAAGGGGCTACCAGAAGAACGCCTTGCACAGGATGAGTCAAAGAAAGCCAAGAAGCCTGCACTTGCTGCCAAGTCTTCCATCTTACTAGATGTGAAACCTCGGGATGATGAGACAGACATGGCAACATTGGAAGAGTGCATCAGAAGTATTCCAGCAGGCGGCTTGGTCTGGGGCTCATCTAAGCTTGTTCCAATGGGGTGTGGAATTTAAAACTTCAGATACAGTGTGTAGTTGAAGATGATACATTGGTACAGATATGCTGGAAGAATAGACAACTGCTTTTGAAGATGATGTGTAGTCCGTGGATATGGCTGCTTTCAGCGAGATCTGGAATTTCTCCTGGATGGTTGTACTTAAACTGACGAAAAGGCAACAAAAAAAAGTTTTAGGAAAATGATGTAAATCAGCTCTTGAAAATTGTTTTCCTTAAAACTCCCTGTTTTTTGATTCTCTTTGGTGGCCTTCAGGGATACTCATGCTTAATGTTAAAGGCAACTAGTCTGATTGATGTCTAGAAATGACATTTTATCCTATAATTTTTATACCTGACTTCCATTTTTTAAAATAAGATATACATTTCAATCCCATTAGATAGAATGAATGATAGCTGAATATATCAAGTTGTCACTATACCCTCCCCAACTCTGTCAAATTCATTAAGGCGAATGCTGTAATTATTGATTAAATTGATAGGCATATATTGAATTAAATCGATCTAATTAGCCCCTCCAATAGGATAGAAGTTTCCTGAGGGCAAGGAATTTTATTGTGACCCCTGTTCAGTTCTCAGTACCTAAAAAATTACTGGCATTTGATAATCAAAAACTAAATATTTAGCAAATGAATGAATGAGTGACTACAATGCTAGTGATGGACTGCTATATTTTCCATTCAAAAAATAATTCAAATGATTCTTGTATATATAT